GGGTGGGGGGGGGGGGGGGGGATTTTCAAACTATTAAGGTGCTAAGATGGGGCAAAATTAAGTGCATAAGATATAGGAGACAAATATACCCGGTACAAATAAATACAAGCTGTTGAAGAAAATCTTTTCTTTTTAGATACAAGAAAATGTCAAAATTATTTACAATAAAAATTTTATAAACTAAACTAATAATAAATGTAAATTTTTTAAAATGATGTATGTCAAAAAGTTTCATTAAAATAAATTATAGATATAATGATATAAATTAACACAACAGAGGGGGAAAATAATTATAGAAGAAATTTTTTAATCAGAATATTTTTTCCTGGCAATTCATGTCAGTCATGTTTCATCTCACTAAAGGAAGTTAACTGAATAAAACATAAAATATACATTAGTTTAAAAAACATTGTTTCTATTTTTATATTTATATTATTATATATTCATAAATATTTATAGCAAGTCGCATAGCAACATAATGAAATATAGATGCTCAGCCATTTGACTGCTGCATAGCTTTAATATTTGCTGAAGGAGCATCTTGAAAAATAAAATGGTATCAATACTTCATATAGATGTTTATACATTTATTTTAGAAATAAGTCGTGAGCCTATTGATTTAAGCTTCTGCTTTTGGTGGTTTAGGTCGACAGCTTCTTTGGTGGACAATGAGTCTATCTGGTAGGAATGTTCTTCCACAATTATCACAGGGACACAGGTTCGCTTGTGCACTCTGCCACGCAGCTTCATTCAATGCATCCGTGTCATAGGACCCAGTTTTGCTGCCTGAAAACAGATCATGAGTTTATTAATTTCTTGAATCCTTCTCTCATCTTCTGATGTAATTTCTTCAAATACACGTAACTTTTCCAGATTAAATGCAAGTTCTAAACATTCTACTCTCGAGTAGATTGTTTACAACTTAGATGAGTTGAAACTATTGGTGAAATCTTCTAATTTATTATACTTTGATTAAAAAAATAAACCTTAATGAACATGAAAAGTTGATCCCCAAAAGGTTAAATCTGTTAAGTTTGACTTGAAGGTTTGAGGCTAGACTAAACTATTTTAAGTTAAACCTAAATTGCTAAAATAATTAATATCTTATTTTTAAAAATATATATATATATATGTGAAAGTGATAACAAGTGCAATAATTAAGGTTTCTGACACGTCCTATGAAATTATTTGCACATGAGAGATATTTTCAAGTTAACAAAAATATGTAGGCCTAATTGTTATTTTTTTAACTCAAAGGCTAATAAATTTCTAAATGAAGTCTAGAACTCTATTAAATATTGACCAAAGTACACTATCTTTAGTTGATAAAAAGCTTTATAAATGAAATTGACCCAGGTAGGCATAGCCGCTATTTGGACCTGGGTCCCTTTAGACTAAATTACATTCAGATGTCATTTGTGGTAGATTATTTTAGTTAAAATGAAGAAGTAAGTTTACAAACATATAGTCCATTCAATTATCTTTCATTTGATACCTTATTTTGTCTTACAAACCCAACAATAATATTTTAAATAGTTTTTTAATCCCAACCTCTCACTTCTAATACCTGGGTGCGAATAGTCGCAGCCTTTGTGAAATTTTTAACTTCTTTGATGTCATTTTCCTGGAAGACTTTAACTTATGGCTAATTTAGGTAAGATATAAGTAACAAAATAGTACTTTAGTTATCTTAATGTATATAAATAGTTAGTTTGGTTTTTTTTTAATTATGAGAGACATTCTTATTTTCGCTACATTGAAAACTGTTAAAAGATCTTCAAAGCAGACTTCATAACATGAAATAAGAGAAAGACCACTTTTCTGTAGCTGACAGAAATTCCAAGCAGCAATGGCAAAAGCCACTATTTACCTGCCACTGCCCTAACTTCTGGCTTACGGGGCTCTGGACGCCTCATAGCTTTAGGAAGCTTGTCATTCTCAATATGCCATTTCTGTAAGCACTGGGGCTCATGGATAGATATGGACTTTGAGCCAAATTCTCTTCCACAAATGTAGCAAATAATAGTGGGTGGTCGCTTCATGACTGGCGGTGGTTTAGAAGGTGGTGGCTTAATTTTGTTTAAAAGAAGGACACAAAAACTGTTAAATATTAAAATTTGTTAAATTCTACACCATACTGATTTATAAATATTTTAACTTATTTTTTTATTTTTTATTTATTTTACAGAAAATCTTTATATAAAATGGAAACCTGAACAAATTAGATTAACTGATTACTTACATTTTGACCACCTCCAGTGGAAGTTCCGCCTACAACTCCACCTTTTGGTTTACAGGCTCTCAGGTGAACAACAAGTCGATCTGGTGCAAACTTTCGGCCACAATTTTGACATGGTACAAGTTGAGCTTTGGAAGCTTCCCAAGCTGCTTCATTCATCTGGTCCCTGTTGTTTTAACAAATTATATATTCATAATTATATAATATTATAAGAAAAGCTAAAAGTGCATCTCTTTAAAATATCTTAATTTCCTAAATACAGTGCCTAAAAAGCAACTTTTTTATACTTTTTGTAAATCTAACATTATAACATAATTTAATTTTTTTTAGTTTGTGTTAATTATTTTTAATGTAGATGTAGTCAAAGAAAAAAATAATGAACCTTTATAATGTTTTAAGGAGTGGACACATTTTTTTAAATAATATTTTGTGGGGTTGCTGTCATTTTCACTTGACCTTATGGAATGTTTTGAAGTATTGAGATTTGTCCCTATTCTTTAGTACAATATTCTGAATCCAGTCTTTTAGATTGTTAATTGTCTTTCTTTCCTTGGCCATTAAAATGATAGTTTAAATATCAACTGTAATATATTAAGAGGTATGTCATTTATTGCACCAACAATTGTTGTCTTTTCTATGGATGTCTGATTTGTACGGATTTATCGAACTGGACAACACTGAGGATCAAACAATTTTCATACTTTGCAACACTAGGTTTGATAGTTGAGACTTTTCTTGTTAGTGGGTTCCTTTATTTGATCGGATATCTTTCTTGCTTGATTTTGAGGTTTCTTTTAAAAACAGTTATTATTCTTTTCTAAATTTTATAGAGAAAATTTGTTTTATGGGCATTTCATGATTTATATGTGCCAAAAAGTTTATGTGATGTTGCAGTTCGCTTGTTACATCTTTGGTGTGAATTTGGATGTCTTTGTACAGTGTGATAACTGCTAAAGAGGTAATTTTCTTGCCAATTTACATTGTTGTTCTGTAATCCTTGATGCTTTGGGAATAATGTGTTCTGGTTGCTTTTGCTTTTTGTTATATCATTTATTTTTTCTTGTAGTAGAATTTTGTATGATTGATAGAATCTAGGTTCAAAATTTTTAGGAATAGAAACACTCTCTTGAATTTATGCTTGTTTTTTTTTTTTTTTATAAAATATGTTCATCACATTTTTTTCATCTGTGGATGAGGTCCTATATATAGCATTTTTATCATATTCAAATTTTATTTTACAAACAAGTTTTTTAGAATCTAGGTTCAAAATTTTTAGGAATAGAAACACTCTCTTGAATTTATGCTTGTTTTTTTTTTTTTTATAAAATATGTTCATCACATTTTTTTCATCTGTGGATGAGGTCCTATATATAGCATTTTTATCATATTCAAATTTTATTTTACAAACAAGTTTTCAGTGCTTTAATTGAACAGATTAACATGTTTATATAATAATATATTGATTTATTGAGAAATTTCTCTCAATATATATATATATAGGTCTATATATATATATATATATATATATATATATATATATATTGATTTTATGACACTAACTGAACACCTTGGATTTAAGCTCTTCAGCATCTCTGATTTACAACTTGTAGTGGAAAATGTGTCAATAAACTTAAAATTGTGTTACCTTGTGAGGTTTCCATTAGCTAACCCTTCAGGTTTGCGAGGTATGGGACGGCGCATTTCTTTGGGCAATTGTGCATTTTGAGTTTTCCATTTGTCCAAACACTGAGGTTCATGAATCCCAATTGACTTGGTTCCGAATTCCCTCCCACAAATATAGCAAATGACTGTTCTAGGTCCTCGCTGTGGTGACTCTTCTCGTGGTTTTGTTACTTTGGTTGTTTGAGGGCCAGTTCCACTAGCAGTGGAGTTGTTATTACTTTGTTGCACAACTGAAATTAAATTAAATAATATTGTTTATAACGATGAAAGCCTTTGGAAAATCCCAGCTGTTACTTTTGTTTTTTTTCACGCGTCGATTTTCAAAAATATTAACAGGAAAGAGTAAGGTTTAAAGTCATGTTTTAAAAGTAAATGGATTATCTGAAGTGAGGGAAAAAAGTTTTGAGTTTTAATTCACAGATTAACAAAAATATCATCACAAAATTACTTTTAAATTGAAGTAAATAACAGTTTGAAGCCTATCATGTTTGTCTTTCATCATAAATTTCAAGTCTCTTGTGTAAATGAAATAAGTGAAGTTTAAATCAATAATAATTTAGAAAAATTGTGGCAATAAAAAAATGACTTCCAGCTCCACACATCAAATTTACTGTTAACATGTGAACCTACTTGTGCTACCAGCTTTAGGTTTGCAAGCTCTAAGATGGACAGACAGGCGATCTGGATTAAATGTTCTTCCACAATTAGGACATGGTACAAGATTTGCTTGAGATGCCTGCCATGCAGCTTCATTTGCTGCCTCTACATCGTATGTGCCTCCAGACTTAAGGATCTCAGGTTTCTTTGGCAAAGGTCTTCTGTGTTCTTTAGGAAGTTTGCTGTTCTCAATTTTCCATTTCTCAAGACATTGAGGTTCATGAATGCCTTTTAAATATACGTTTTAAAAAATTAATATTCTACTCTAATAATTTGATCTCCCTAAAAAATTATTTTTATATTTAAAAAAAAAAAAGAAATTAAATTAATGGGTTGTGACATTTGTAAAAAGTTACATAATATTAGTCTCTTAGCAAAATAGAGGATTTGCTTTTAAGTATAATGTTTTAATATATTGACCTATTAAACTGTAACACACCTATTGATGCCTTTGTGAACTGTCTTCCACAAATGTAACAAACGACAAAATTCGAACCAGGAGGCCCTCTTTTTGGTTTTGGCGGCCCTTTTTGAATAGGTGCAGTATACGTGCTCTGACGGCTCATAGTGTCAGTATTTCCTGGTTTTGAGTGTCCGTTTATTTGAAGCTCTCCCTGATCCTTTTTCACAGACAAATCTGGACGTGTTCTACCTTTTGCACTTAATGGTCTGTTGCTGTTTTTCCCACTTTTTGGTCTACTCACCACTGACTGAGATGATAAAGAAGTTGTTGAGCTTGCTATTTCATTTTGGTTTATATCTACAGTCTCATCAAGTTTTAGCACAGTAGGTGATGAGAGAGTTGCTGTTCCTGGTCTTTTGATGTCACTATTTGTGGCACTGCTGTTTGTGTTTTGTCTCAATGGCTTAAGTGGTTTACCAGGTTTACAACTGCGTTGATGTACAGCTAATCTATCAGGTTGAAAAGTTCTTCCACAGTTATCACATTCTGCAAGATTAGCCTGAGCTGCCTGCCATGCAAGCTCATTAAAACGCTCATTTTCAGATTTTCCAGCAGACTTTCCAATAGCTGGGAGAAGCTGTGGTTTTATTGGAGCAGGACGGCGTTGGGCTTGTGGTAGCTTATCATTCTCAGTATTCCATTTTTTTATACATTGAGTCTCATGAATTGAAATTGATTTAGAACCAAACTCTCTACCACAAATATAGCACACCACAGTGGGTCGATGTGCCATAAGATCTAAAAAAAAAATAATCCAATAAATAAAATTAGTTACTATTTGCAAAATATTTAAATAATTTTTAAATATTTATTCATAAACGGAGGATTCTGATCCCTTGGCAATTTTCTGCATGAACCCATTGTCATTGATTGATCAAAATAGGTGCTTTGGAAATCAAAATAGCACAGAAATGAAAAATACATTTTAAAATTTAAATTGACACACTTTAATCTTTGGAAATAAAACAAAGAGTCTTGAAAATTCAAATAGTTACCTAAAACACATTGATAATACTATAATAATACTGTAATTATTTCAATATCATTGACAATGAGTGACATGTAAATGCAGCTGAACTGTACTATAACTCAACTTACCTGTTAGGTATTATATTAATAGTGCATTTAAATACACCACACCCTAGTCCTCCACTATTAAAAGGTCTATATTTTAAACAATGAAACACTGGGGTAAAGTAGGCCGAAATCCAAATAATCAATAGCATAAATTATTTTATCATTTTTTTTTATGTCACATGGACTCATGAACAATTCCACAACTTAAATAAAAAATTTTTTTTAATTATACTATTTTTATCTACTAAATTTGAATAGGTTTAGCCTTAGCTTCAACATTCAAACAGGCGAGTATTTTATTCCTTTTAAATACATATTCATCACAGAAGCTAGCAACATTAGTAAAGAGAGCTTCAAACCTAAGTATTATCTACTGCACCTAGAGTAAATAGTGTGCTTAACAACCATAAACAAAATTGGAAGCCATTTTTAAACAAAATACGACACTTTCAGTTTCTATGATATAAAATTAGTAATAGTAATATATTATGTTTAATTGTACTTTTTCAATAATGAAAGTATTTATGTCTGAAAAATTAAATATTTTTTACAAAAATTGAAGAATGACAACTAATATATCTCTTTTACATTGTATTACCAAACATTGATTATTTACATTTTTTCCTTTACGACTAAGACTCAGACAGTTTTCAGTTCTGTTTTTGATATATTTTCAAAATGGCGTCAAACCAAACAACAACAAATGCAAGCGGTGCGCCTCCAGAAGTTATACCAAAACCTTTCTTAAATCTTTACGTATTTACCGAAAAACTTGGCAGTGGAACATACGCTACTGTTTATAAAGCTTACAGGAAGGTATTTTAAATAAATAATTTGTAGACATCCATTAAATCGTTTTAAATGTCGACCATTTTAAACCAGTTCAGCCAGCAGCTTAAACTTAAAAATACTTAAATGTAACAAGGGCTTTCTTAATTTATTCAATTTGAAAATTTTATCCAAGGAAAAATCAATGATTGTAAATAGTAAGTATATTCTAAAAACTTCAGACTTATAATTATAAGTAATCCAATAGTATGTATGACAGTAATTGTAATGTTGTAAACGTCTAAAACGTTTTTGATCTGACTGAAGAAAAACTTCAAAAAGTTTCGTAATAATAGTAACTTTAGACTTTTGTTTATTTAAGTCTAAATGATGTCAAAATATTATATGGTTTCATTTTTCATGTAGGACTTTTGGTTAAAACGTTATGATGGTAAATGCAGACAATTTGTGCCATGACGTATCTGATGGCCGCCATCATGGTTGCTGCGACCTGTGAACTTGTACGTGTTCACGGGTCGCGACAACCAGGATAGTCACCGTGAAATAATAAATGACTCAAATTTGCTAAAATTAGGAATAAAACTTTTAAAATTTATGAAAAAATGTCCTACTAAATGTATCCCTAAACCTAACCCGATCTCCCTAAATTGATCCCTAAACTGATCGCTAAACCTAACCCAAACCCTAAAACTAGCCCTAAAGCTGGAAGTGAAAAATATGTGGCATTTACTACTATTTATACACTGTGGGACGAAAACTATGAAACTGAACAAAAAAAATTAAAAAATGGCCATAAAAATGATAAAATACAGAAATAATGAAAACCCAACTTACCGAAAATAATATTCAGAAATGAATAAAATACAAGGCCTGACAAAATCATCAAATATGGCGAGGAAAAAAAAATATAATGATTAATGACCCAACCAATGAAATTTTAAAATTATAATTAATCAATCAATACAAATTTAATTAAAAAACATGCCATTGTAATATTAAGGAAAATCTAACTCCATTTACAACAATAATGGGAGTGAATCCAAAACACAAACTTTACAAAAATCATGAAATGACATCATGGCACCAGTTCTCTGCATTGACCGCTATATTTTTCAAAGGCAAATTATTTGGATTATTTGTTTATAGATTATATCATTAACATATCCTGTAAATATGTCATTGACATTTTTATATTGAGAAATATGCAAGAATTATGAGTAAAAGTGATGAACACAGAGTGTGGAGGCAAACTCAGTGATACAAAAAGGTGTACTTAAGGTCCCCACAACATTCATAACTTTGCTAACCACTTTTTTAAACTTAAGAAATCATTAATTGTTATACATTTAACCTACTGTCTACAAAATAAAGAATACATTTAAGAATAAAATTTTAGGTGCGAGAGTGTTATTTGAAAACCATTTCCAGTTTTTCGTTTATGATACATAGTGATAGTCTTTTTTTATTCTCTCTAATCCAAAGCATGAATCACTGTAATTTATTAAACCACAAAATAATGTTGGAATTTAATTGTAAAAATGTATCACCTAATAAAATTTGAATGGTGTTGCCATGGTGTTGCCTCTACCATTTTCGAGCAGTAAAACATTTAATACTCCCAAGAGATTATTAGACACCAACTGTTACTATGGAGGCCAAAGAAAACCAACTGATAAGCTGTTTAAATCACTGCCAATATAACCAATATTACATCACAAGTCTGAGCACAAACAAAAATATTGAGAAGTATGTTGTTGAAAGTAGAGGACAATGAATAATGTGTCTGAAGCTTTCAGGTGATATAATTTGAGTTAGGTCTGTATTTTTACTGTTCTTAGTGAGTTAAAGTTACACCCGTATAAAGTCTTATAAAAGTTATGACTTTAGAGATTTGCTAAAACTCACAAAATGAGGTTTATATAATGAAGCAAAAAGCAAAGTAACGGAAGTCAACATAGACTTTGTCTAGTATTATAAATATAGGATGTAAGCTTGTAAGTTTAATAATCTACAGTTGTTGTTGTTTTAATACTGTACAGTTGTTGTTTTTGACAGTTTGTTATTTGCTGATTGCTGATAGACATTAATCTCTTCCAGAGTGGTGAGAGGGAAGTGGTGGCCATCAAATGTGTACTCAAAAGCAGCTTAAACCGAGCATCAACAGAAAATTTATTGACTGAAATAGAACTTCTAAAGACACTCAAACATGAGCATATTGTTACGCTCAAAGATTTTCTGGTACTAAGCTATTATGTCATTTATTAATCTAATGAATAATGCAATCCAGCTAAAGTGTATAGTTTATTTCTTTATCTCAGTTACAAAATTCACATGAAGTTCATACATGCCATAGTTGTGAACAACAAGTGTCAATATTTAAATGACTTTTATGAGTGTTTCCCAACATGCCCCACAGGGGGGCAGTTTGATTGTTTGGGGGGGGGGGTGGCAATTGGAAAATGAGCTGTCTAGAATTTGAAAACCAACCGTCTACTTTGATTTAACTTGTATTTTGAAAAAAAAGCAACATTAAAGTCTCTATTTGCCATAGTTGTGAACAACAAGTGTCAATATTTAAATGACTTTTATGAGTGTTTCCCAACATGCCCCACAAGGGGGCAGTTTGATTGTTTGGGGGGGGGGTGGTGGCAATTGGAAAATGAGCTGTCTAGAATTTGAAAACCAACCGTCTACTTTGATTTAACTTGTATTTTGAAAAAAGAGCAACATTAAAGTCTCTATTTACTGCAACTGTCAATCGTACTCTTGAGCCTAGTTATGAAATTTCCATACTAATTGCTAAATCTGGGGAAAAAAATCATACTATAGGAGAGAATCAAATCAAACCATCAATATCAGCATTTCTTAAAACGGTTCTCAACAAAAATGACAAAGACATGAAATATGCCACTCAGTAAGAATTCTGTTAGCAGAAGAACAGACGAAATGAGTGAAGATATTGAAGTACAACTTGTTTAAAAGCTGAAAACAAGAAAATTCTCAGTGCAAATGGATGAATCAACTATGAGACAGTGAGGCTATATTGATTACTTATGTAAGACATATTGATAATGGGTATTTGGCTGAAGAAATGTTCTATAAATCATAAGAAAGTGCCACTTCTGCCAAATATATATATAATAAGCTAAAAAAATTATTTAGATGTCAATAATATACCAATGAAAAGTATAATATCTTGTGCTTCAGATGGTGCTCCTAATATGATGGGCAAGAAAAATGGTTGCTTGAAATTGACAAAAAAATGAGAATCCAGAAATGCTACTTGTGCATTGTGATAATCATAGGGAAAACTTTGTACCTAAAAACATTTCGTCTGTTCTAAAATGAAGCACTAAGTTATAAAGTGCATTAATGCTATTAAAGCAAATGCAAAATTTGAACGTCTCTTCAACTTCAAGGTAGTTTATGAAGAACAAAATACAGATTATGTGACACTTTCGCCTCACACTGAAGTAAGATGGCTTTCGAAAGGGAATTGCTTGAAAAGATTTATGGAACTATTTGATGACCTTGCGATTTTTTAAGTGACAAACCTAATATGAAGTATCTGTTAATGGTCGATTGTAAAGCATATGTGAGTTATTTAGCCGATATCTTTGAAAATCAAAATTTATTAAAGAACTAATAAAACTCTTGTTGATGCAAAAGTGAAGATATTTGGTTTCAATACCTTTATTGAATTATGTCAGAAAAATATTTGCAACAAAAGTTTTGAAATGGTGCATTGGCTCAAAAAATGTGAAGTGACTGATACCGCTATACTTGTTATTGTCTGATACCGCTATACTTGTTATTGTCTGATACCGCTATACTTGTTATTGAAAATTCTATCGGCTGATTTAAAAGAAAGATTTTCTTATTTGAGAAAAAATTGATTGTCCAACTTGGATGATGCAGCCACTGTTAGTGGATTTGTCTAATATTTCAAATATGCAGTATCAAGAAGAACTCGCAGAAATGGAAAATGGCGATTCAGTTAAAACTTTAATTAATATAAAAGGAGCGATGACATGGCTTTGTGAGAAAATAGAAATCAGTTATCCAAATTCAACCAAATATGCAAGAAAACTATTGTTACCCTTTCAATATTCATATTTAGCTGAAAGGGGATTTAGTGTCATAAGTGATTTGTTGCACACACAAAAAAAAGAAAAGAAATCGGCTGGATATAACACAAGGGGAAGACTTGAGACTGAAGCTAACTAAATTGGAACCTAACATAAAATCTCTTTGCAGAAATCATCAAGCACAAACTTCTCACTAAATATTAATAATAAATAATTTCTAATAATTGAAGTATATAGAAAAATCTTTCATTAAAATTATTTCGTATTAGAATTTCAATTCTCCATTGTATGTTTTGAAAATTCACTTACCATGTTTCTTCAACAATTTCCTAGAGATTTCTTCCTAAACCTATCATTTAAGTTTCTTCAGTGATCAACCCTATGTTGGAATATTTAAAATTATATATATGATACATGTCGGGGAGGTGGGGTGTAAAGAATATTAGAAAGGCTTAGGTGGGGCATGGCACAAAACAGGTTGGGAAACACTGAATTATATCATTGTAGACAACAGAGCAATTAATACTATTTTATGGCATAATGAGATTCATAAAAATCATGTCATCTATGTTCCTTAATCATTTTGAATCATGTCCTTAATGGTTTCTCCCTGGTCATGTAGTGGGACTCTAATTATATCTATCTCATCATGGAATACTGCAATGGTGGGGATCTATCTCGTTTCATCCGAAGCAAAAGAGCTCTACCTGAACATATCGTGAAAAGATTCTTGCAACAAATTGGTATTTAAACTATTTTTTTACATTTTTCATTATGGTTTATGCAAAAGAAATAACTAGAAGTTTATTGTTAAAAGAAATAACTAGAAGCATATTGTTTGACATGTACGTATAAAGTTATTCTAAGTTTTGCATTATTTTATTATCAATTTATTCAGCTGTTAAGATAATATTTAAATTTACTAAAATAGCTTTACTTAATTATACTTAATCATACTTAATGAATGTTTTTATTTTTAAAAAAATTATTTGAAGTAACACTAAGACTATGTATAATTTAGTTTAGACCTCAAACAAGTAATGCATGGCTTACAAAACAGAAATTTTTAATTCTAATTCTGCAAGTAATTATTACAATATTGGAATAATATAATACATATGTCAACATATATTCTACCAGCTTCTGCTATGAAATTCTTATGGGACAAGAATGTTGCTCATATGGATTTGAAGCCACAAAATATTTTGTTAACTTCAACAGCAAGTCCCCAAATAAAATTAGCAGGTAATTTTTTGTGTCAAATTTAAATCTGATCTGCATACGAAACAAAAAACATGGACAATTACAAAATGATGTTTTCACGAATAAAATAATATTTGAATTATTTTTCAACAAATTGATTTTTCATTGTTTATTTAATTAAAAAGCTTTTTTGTACCGAAACTCTGTTCCTGAAGCATTTTGAAATAATCTTAAGTAACAAAGTTATAATGATTTACTTATATATTCCCAATCAGAAATTGATGTATTGTCTATCAATGGGAAATGTCTTGTTTTAAAAAAAATATTAATGATAACTTTAATTGTTTTTACAGACTTTGGTTTTGCAAAGCATTTATTTGATGGGGATCGCCTACATGTCATGCGGGGGTCTCCATTGTACATGGCACCTGAAATAATCTGTCGAGGCACTTATGACAACAGAGTAGACCTCTGGTCAATTGGTGTTATTTTGTTTGGTATGTACAGAGCAGACCTCTGGTCAATTGGTCTTATTTTGTTTGGTAGGCATTTCTTAAAGTTATCTAATAAATTAGAAGATTAAATTAAATCTTAAACTAAAGTCTAGAGTGTTGCAATATAAAAAGTCTTATTCTGCCAGCAAGGGAAATCTCTTGATCATGACTTCTTTACGTTTAGAATGTCTTTTTGGGAAGGCGCCTTTTGCATCCAAAAGCTTCAAAGAACTTGGTGAAAAAATATGGGATCAAAAGCCTATCGAGGTAATCATTTATTTTACCAAGGCCATAGAGTCTGAAATTTCGTAGGATTAAAATAATAAAAAGTATCACTTGTCAATGGATATAAACAACAGAATGTGTTGCCATTTAATCAGTATTCGTATGTTTTTATGTGATGTAAATGTTATGGTAGAATATTTTCAGATTAATAAAGTCAGCCTTCTATTGAATATTCTCATATAAAAAATCTACTTTTTTAATATTGTAGATTCCTCCTGGGGTCAATGTCTCAGACAATGCTAGGGATCTTATCCTACGATTATTACAACGCCAACCAGCCAGGCGCATCACATTTCCAGAGTTTTTTGCTCATCCATTTGTTGACATGGAGCACATTCCCTCTAAAGATGCCTTGCCAAAAGCCGTATGCCTACATTTATTTTTGCTGAATTCTTTAAACAAAAGCCTACTTATTGGAATATTATTTATTTTAAACGAACAGGTCTTTGAATTAGTTCGCCCAAAATTATTTGTGTAAAAAAAATACAATTTTATTTCATTATGATTTATTTTATTTTCAGACTGAGATCATAGCAAAAGCTGTAAAAAAAGATGAAGAAGGAGATCACAAGGAGGCCGTGAAGTTCTACTGTGAAGCTTTAGATTTCTTTATGCCAGCCATACATTGTAAGTCTCCTTGTTACCATCATAGCTTTGAACTTCTATGAAAAACAGTGCGTCTGTTGCAATACCAATGGGATGTTTTAAACTGTGTGCCATGCACCATAGATCCTATCCACTGTGTCGTTTTGTAGAAATATCACTAGTTTGAGGATAACTTAGCTGCAGGCCTGCGGGTCTTCAAGTTTGTAGGAGGTACTCTCACGTACTTAATGTTTCTCAAGCAGTTAGGACTTAGCACAGTGGTGGGGCAGAGCTTGGCAGTTAGCCTCTAGCACAGTGGTGGGGCAGAGCTTGGCATTTAGCCTCTAGCATAGTGTTGGGGCAGAGCTTGGCAGTTAGCACCTGGCACAGTGGTGGGGCAGAGCTTGGCTATTACTTCTTGTACTTCTGTGTCACACTAATGGAAATTTATTACATCTTACACTTCTGTGTCACACTAATGCCCATTTATTACATCTTACACTTCTGTGTCACACTATTGCCCATTTATTACATCTTACACTTCTGTGTCACACTAATGACCATTTATTACATCTTACACTTCTGTGTCACACTAGTGCCCATTTATTACATCTTACACTTCTGTGTCACACTATTGCCCATTTATTACATCTTGCACTTCTGTGTCACACTAATGACCATTTATTACATCTTACACTTCTGTGTCACACTAATGCCCATTTATTACTTCTTAATTTAAAGAATTATTTTAACATCATTTCTAACTTTTGTTACTTCCAATTTTCAGATGAGCAGAGCATAGAGAAGAAAAAAATGTTACGTGCCAAGGTAAATTTGATTAACTGCATGAGTGCTGGACGTAAACTAAATTATTTTTACAAAAATGGAGGAGAATGCTATGGTGTGAAACCAAAATATGTCTGATCCTTTTCAAATCTTGCGTATTTTAAAGTGGACAAATTTTTTATGGCAGTATTGTTTGAAATAGTAACCAATGAGCCATTAGTATTGTGTGGATTGATGCATTTTGTACAAAGAACAAAAATGATTTCATTTACGGAAATGACATCCAAGAAAAGTCACTTTTCCACTCACTCAAAAAAAACATAATTAAAAATATGAAGCAATTTTTTCACCCTCATGATAGAATTTTATGTTTTATAATGTAGCAATGCAACTACTGAGCTGTTCTGTCTCTCCTTTCAGGTCAAGCAATATATGGACAGAGCTGAAACTTTGAAACAGTTGATGAGGTCAGAGATACACTCACATTCGCAACATAAAGCAGTCAAATTAGAAAGTCCGCCTGCAACTCCATCAAATGTCAAGATGGTCACAAACATAAAAATTGACACACCCCCCTCTCCAGCTTCAGAAGTTCAAACAGCTAAAATAGTTCAACCTAATATATCCACTTCTAAAGTAAATATTTCACCTAATCACAATGATGATTTACCCATCAAGAGAACCTATTCAAGAACCATGTCAGATGATGTGTTGGAAGAAATCAGTAAGTTGAATTTGAGTGGCATAACTTTAGGTATAATAATTCTTGTCTCTAAATCAGCATTAATCTACAAGGAGCTGGTAAAAGTGTCAAGATTGCACCATTAATCCAGAACAGGGTGGGGGGGGGTGGGGGGGCGACAGAAAAACATGTCACCTGAGTTATTTGCAATAATTTTACAATAACCATCGATGCTAAACATGGAAGTTTTATCATGATATCCCTTCATGCCTTCCTCCTGACTTTTGCTTTAAAAAAAAGAAATTTTTAAATGTCCAAGTTCATTTTATTGCATAGGTCGGGAATAATTTTTTCCACAACAAACCTTGGACATTTTTTAAGGTAGAAATTTGTTGTGTTAAGGAGATTAATGTGTGTTACATTTTTTTAATTTAGCTTTAGTAATGGCATTTTAAATGATATTTCTGATCATTGTGTTTTATGTTTGACACTATTAGACACTATATCTGCTTCATGAAAAATTTTCACACAACTGAATTAGCAAGTGTTTGAAAGTCATGCTAAAGATGTTTTACAGTTCACAATATTGCAACAATTGACTTATGTAAAACTGTAATTATACCTTTCAGTTAACTAATGTAAACTATAATTATACCAACTAATGTAAACTATAATTATACCAACTAATGTAAACTATAATTATACCAACTAATGTAAACTATAATTAGACCAACTAATGTGAACTATAATTAGACCAACTGATGTAAACTATACTTAGACCTTTCCTATTTTGTGTCAGTGTCAATGTGCACAGACTCACAGGAGCTGATGGCTATTCTCAAACTCATTGATGCTGCTTTGGCAGAGGTATTTTTAAGAATAACCCTTTTGCAAATATAGCTTTTTTAAACTTTCATTTCTTTCAACTTTGATTCGGTAATTTTTCTGAAGCCAATTGTTTGAGATGTCACTATAATTTTATTTTAAGTTCTGCTGCAATGAGGCTTAATAATCTGCATTCTGGCCAATGGCATATGTGTTTTGTAAACATGAATAAATTATTAATTGAAAAGTTATGAAACATTTTGAACAAATTTTAAAGGAGATTATAAAAAATATAATAGTGTTGTTAATAAATGATTGAATCAACTCTGTATCTACTCTGCCTGCATCAACTTTTTCTACATTAACTCTGCCTACTTCCCCCAGGAACAAAAGGAAGACTATGAGCAATGTTTACATCACTTTGAATTGGCTTTGGGAGCTTTATTAAAAATATTACCAGGTGATTTCTAACGAACCATAATTACGGTCTTTGTAAGCTAATCTTTATGGTTAAGAGGGAAGCAACCTGAATCTAAAAAGCTTTACAAAATTTAATTGAAGTTTATAACGTTATTTAGATTTTTTTTATTTAAGAGACTAAATAAAAAAAATAAAGTGATCGTAGATAGCATTTTGTTATCTATGGTTATTTGAGAAATAAAAATAGTACAGGATACAAGTATTGGTATACTAATAGGAATTTCATAAATATTTATTTCTCAACAAATTAACCATTTGTGCCTTCCAAACAACAGCTGAACCAAAGGGTAAAAGGAAAGAAATGTTAAAATCACAGGTAATGGATTTATTTAATTTTAGTTATAAGTTGACTTAGTAATTCAACAAGTTACTTAGAAACATTATTTTTTGTCCCCTTCCCTCCCCTTATTAACCATTTCTGTACCCTGACCTAATCACTTCCTTTGTCACTGAATGCAACAGTAAAAAAAAAACCAGTCCTTCCTACTTGACATTTTGTACTCCTGAGGTTTACAAAGAACCTGATTACAGCTCTTTAAAATTTGTTTAATGTTTTGGCATTCTGCTCATGAAAACAAACAAACCCGATGAATGATAAACTTGAAAATGTTTGCAAATCTTTTTTTGAAATTTATCCAGATCTGATGTCAAATATTTTGTATTGGTCAGAGAAAGTTAAATTATGCCTCAAAATCTGGTGTTATTAGAATTTTAAAGGCAATCAGTGCTGACCCATGACATAGGTACTTCGGTAAAGCAAGGGAGACTACTTAAAAAATAATTGGGGAAATGAGAATCGGGGCAGAAGAATCCAATTGTTTAATTTTTAGACATTTGTGCTTCTTCATTGATGAAAGGACTATTTAGTCTAAGGATTGTGGTATTCATTCATAGGTTTTTCAGTACCGGTAGTGGACATTTTGATCTACATTTCCATCATAATTTGTTGCCCTTTCATTAGACCCCAATCTTAGAAATTCATAGTTATATATGATATATGTATATTATATATAAGGCATCTTTCACTAAAATATTTAGTATGCAGTTCAACTACTATGTCTGTCATATTAATTCTTCATCTGTAATATATATGGATGTATACATGTGCGAATTCTCATTAAGCTAGGACATGTGGGCCGTGCGTTGCCTTATATAAACTAAATAGTCATTGCGCATGACGCGATCAGCGGAATGAGGTCACAAAATGTGGAGGCTTCGTCCATAGTAAAAAATACGGAACGAACTCGCACTTTAAAAATTCATAGCTTAAAAAGTACTAAAGCTAAAAAGTTGATTCTGGTTTAATTTTTTTATTTGAAATTTGCTCTAAGTAACGGTAATATTTTAAGAAAATGATTTTGAATATTTTAATTTTTTTTTTCTAAAGTACTTACCCATAGCCCATGGGTTTTGAGACTTTTTGTAGACTTTAAAAGTAATCATTCACTGCACATTGCTGACACGTGGGCCTATATTGGCAGCACATTGCTGACTCGTGGGCCTACATTGGCAGCACATTGCTGACACATGGGCCTACATTCGCAACACATTGCTGACACATGGACCTACTGTCCTTTTATTTTCTCAGCTGACAAAATGGATGGATACAGCTGAAAAAATTAAATCCTATCTGGACATAAGGAACCTTAGTACAAAAGATACAACGGCTGAGGAAGAGTTGAATGAAACCACATACCTGAGTAAGTTAAATGGTGTGCCTTATACTGCCCCCTGGCGACCATTTAAGTGGGGGATCACTCTTGTTTGGTGGATCTCTTTGAGATTTTATTCTTTGATTTTTCTGTTTCCTTTTAAAAGAAAACGTCTGTGAGAATTTCACATCTTACGATTATAGGTTTTCTTATTTTAAACAATTACGAATGGACAGTTCAAAATTTTACCGTGGAATGATTACAAAATTAGCTTCGTATATCCCAACTTTATCGCAGTCAGTGGAGTTTATTGAACACTTTAGAAAACAATAATTCTATTTTAAAGTTTTGGATTGTTTTTTTTTTTTAAAAACTAAATAAAAAATGAGACATGTGAGAGCTTCCATAGCTGCTCTAATTTAGTACTTGTTCTTAGTTTCATTTATAATTATGTTTTAATTCCTAAATAAGGAGATCTGACTTTTATAACTACTTTTATTTTGGTGTTATTCTCAATAAGTTTAATATGTCATAGTTAGAAAAAATGTGTTCATTTAGAGTTATCTTTCCTTATCTTATAATTATATGTTCAAATTTGAAACTTTTTTTTTACAAGAAAAAGAAAGTTTTTATCTTCACCGTCAATAAAAAAGAAATTGTAAAAAATATGAAAGACAAATATTTTGAAATAAGTTTGAAAATTTGTTTTCATTTATTGTCTATTTATAATTATTTAATTATGATCTTGTTCCTCATTGCATTTCACTCTTTTATGATGACCTTTTGTATCATGTTCATGTTGACTTCAGCTTTATTCTGCTCACTGTATAACCCTTGACCTTACTCAACTTATTTTGCTGTGTAAATAATATTTGTATCATACCCTTCTCTCCCAAAAGCCCCTAATTCATTAGAGACCTCTGGCCTTAACATTGCCTTAACTGTACCTTAAAGTTACTGTTTTTAATTGTTGCTAACGTGTGACACGCTGGAACATGTCTCTACTCAACTTAATCTGCTCATATTTTACCAAGTGTTTATTAACTTATTAAATTTGTTGTTCACGTTGATCCAAATAAATCACAACTAGATCATCAGTCTTCTGTTTATTTGCCTTTTCTTTCTTTTTTTTTTTTTTTAAGTCTGCATTATTTTAAACTTGATGCAACTGTCTCTTTCCAGATGAATTAATGCAATGTTCTGTTCAATGAAACAATTGTGCAACATTCCCCCAACATCAGCGGAGTGCAGGTCACCCCCAAACGTTGCCAAGAATTAATGGACTTCTTCTTTTACTGATTCTGTGATGATTGTTTTGTTGAGTTGGGTGGTGTTGCTCATTAGTCGAGAGTGTATCTAGGGTTGCTGCATTTAGTAGTCATTCATTGAACAACTGCTCAGATGATAGTTGAAATGGGAGAACTTCCAACTACCATTGGGCTTTTACTACTATTAGCATTACATCTTACATTGCATTACATATTGGATTCATTCATATTTAATGTATTCCCAAATAAAAGCAACAAAAGTCAAAGTGAGAAAAGAATGACTTGAAGGAAGCAAATAGCAGAGAGGTATACTCTATAGAGAAATCAACACTTTTTAAATCCATAGCAGCATCACAATAGATTCTAATTAACAGCATCACAATAGATTCTAATTAACAGCATCACAATAGAATCTAATTAACAGCATCACAATAGATTCTTCTAATTAACAGCATCACAATAGATTCTAATTAACAGCATCACAATAGATTCTAATTATCAGCAAACCTTAATTATTGAGCTGCGACGGGCCAAAAGATGAAATGATATAAGTTCGGGGGCCATTGCCCCTGGGTAGCTAAGAATCACGCTCCGTTGTGTATTTTTCTTTTACTACAATTCAGCAATGAAGCAGCTACATTGACAACTTGTATAGTTTTGCAGTCATTTGATCTTTAGAAACACATATCACAGAAGTGATTCATTGATACGGAGAATGTCAGGGTGCTTCAAAATTAAAGATCAAAGAGAAATGACAACAAGTACTGGGGATTAAAAGAATGGTCAGATCTAAGTCATTGAATAGATCCGATATTATGGGATATGTGATCAGATGTCTCATAGTTATGGTACATGTGATCAGTTTTTTCATAGTTATGTTATTTGTGATAGTTGTCTCATAGTTATATTACTTGTGATAGTTGTCTGATAGTTATGTTACTTGTGATAGTTGTCTCATAGTTATGTCACTTGTGATAGTTGTCTCATAGTTATGGTACTTGTGATAGTTGTCTCATAGTTATGGTACTTGTGATCAGTCATCTTAGTTCTTCATGGTTTAATATTATTATTATGTACGATTCCCTTTTCATTTTAAAAATGAGAGGGTTATCATTGGGATAAACTGACTGACATGTGTAGAAGTCAGCCGACTCAGATTGTAAAATAGAGTTGTTGTCGCCAAGACAATTTTTTGTCTCCTATAGGTTACAACAATAACTTCCATATTATACCTGTGATTACAAATAACTGTTAACTTCAAGAATGTGTTTGATATTTTACTGTGATATGAATGTAAATGTCAGAAGATTTTCTCCAATATTAGATATGGGGAATCTCCATTGGTGTTTTTTTTGTCTTGTTACAATACTTGTTTTGTTGATCACTTTGTTCCTTTGAAATTAATGTGAAAATAATTGTAAGTTTCAGTGTTCTGTTAAATCATTTTTATGTTCTTACACATTATATTTCTTTATCTGCATTTTTAAAAAATTTTCTTCCCCCCCTTTTTCTCCCCCCCCCCCCCCCCACTTTTTTCTTGGTGAACTACGGTTGGGGGTAACAATGATTTGAACAAGCTCTGTGTGTTGGTCACAGTGTGGACATGTATGAAATAAAGTCATGGCACGAGGATAGTCTCAGATTTATTACGTTCAAGTCAGTTGTGAGGTGCTACCCTCAACATTTGGTGAGGACCACTTGATCATCTATGTTTGCTGGGCCTGTTTCTGTCTGTTGTTGCGCACATGGCTATAGGGATATCATATGAGGTGCTATAGAGATACCATATGAGGTGCTATAAAGATACCACATGAGGTGCTATAGGTATACCATATGAGGTGCTATAATGACACCATATGAGGGGCTATAGTGATACCCTGTGGGTGCTATAGTGACACCATATGAGGTGCTATAGTGATACTATATGAGGTGCTATAGTGATACCCTAATGAGGTGCTATAGTGATACCCTATGAGCTTGTTCTGGATTCAGCTCTGTAATGAAACTAGTCAATATAAAAAAAAGCTTGTTTGGGGGGAAACCCCTGGTATAATATTTAGCATAGTTTGAAAATGAAAGAAATCTTTGATAGATTAAATTCTATCCCACACCTTCACTGTTTTTACAGATAGAACAAGTGGTGAACAAAATTGGGGAGGAGGTGGTCAGGGATAGTGTTGTACTGTCCAATGATATATTGTAATGTTGTAAGCCAACTAAGAAGTTCAGATACTGACCAGAGGACTGGTGACAAAAGTTCATGCTTGGTGGCTTGGGAAGGGGGGGGGGGGTTAAGTTATTTTCTGGGGGGTAGAGGTGGGGGTTTATTAGTTTGAATCGTTTTCTTTATTGTTTGTTTGATTAAAAAGATCAGGTTTGTTTTTCATATTGTAATGTTGTAAGCCAACTAAGAAGTTCAGATACTGACCAGAGGACTGGTGACAAAAGTTCATGCTTGGTGGCTTGGGAAGGGGGGGGGGGGTTATGTTATATTCTGAGTGGTAGAGATGGAGTTTTATTAGTTTGAATCGTTTTCTTCATTGTTTGTTTCATTAAAAAGATCAGGTTTGTCTTACACTGGCAGTCATTTTGATCTACAAGTTTCATGTATCTGACCTTCTTACTTAGTAATTATCAAGCTTTGAGTCTCATCTAAGGTCATCTACATATTGGTCATGTACTTTTGACTAGGTCAAGTGCTGGTACCAATTACATTTTGGTCACTTACTATTAACTAGGTCAAGTGCTGGTACCAATTGCATATTGGTCCCTTACTCTTAACTAGGTCAAGTGCTGGTACCAATTACATATTGGTCACTTACTTTTGACTAGGTCAAGTGCTGGTACCAATTACATATTGGTCCTTTACTCTTAACTAGGTCATGTGCTGGTACTAAACTGACAAAATGAGGGTTGGTTTTACTCTTCTAAAAATAGATTTGAAAAGTGGCTTTTGATCTCATGCAATATGTCAATCTGATCTTTTTATGTGGTTCAGTTGGGAATGTGGATCAGTTGGGAATGTGGATCAGCTGGGAATGTGGATCGGTTGGGAATGTGGATCAGTTAGGAATGTTGATCAGTTGGGAATGTGGATCAGCTGGGAATGTGGATCAGTTGGGAATGTGGATCAGGTTGGAATGTGGATCAATTGGGAATGTGGATCAGTTAGGAATGTGGATCAGCTGGGAGTGTGGATCAGTTGGGAATGTGGATCAGTTAGGAATGTGGATCAGCTGGGAATGTGGATCGGTTGGGAATGTGGATCAGTTAGGAATGTTGATCAGTTGGGAATGTGGATCAGCTGGGAATGTGGATCAGTTGGGAATGTGGATCAGTTTGGAATGTGGATCAATTGGGAATGTGGATCAGTTGGGAATGTGGATCAGTTGGGAATGCATGGTAAAAACAAATAATTCCTAAAACCAGGTTGCCAAAAAAAACAACTATATTAACACCCCCAGACTCATCATATTCATTGGATCAAATCAATTTTAAAGTCACTTCAAAATCTCATGATATTATTATGGTATTCATCATCGCCTTACTTATCATGACGTCGCCTTACTACTCATGTCATTGAGTCATAATCCTACTTGTCCCCATGAAAGGTATTTTTACTTTTAATCTTCCTCTTTCAAACTTTAGCTCTATGAGCTCAATTCTGCCTGCAGCTTAGTATGCTAATTAAACGTATTGACGAATTAAATGTATATACATGGAAGTCATGCTGTTAAAAATCAACTGTCATTTTTTTTAAAAGTTTAGGAGGATGGACACCATCTGTATAAGA